TCTTCGCGGAACCCTAAACGAGACCTTGGCGGCTTAAAATATTGGCGCTTTGCCCGGAACAACCTAAGCAAGACCAAAATCCAAAATTTACACCCCTAAGCGAGACGACGAGCATCCCCGTCTGTTTCGTATGGGAGTTCCCCTCCCCCCGGATAATATGTAGTATGTTACTATTCCAGACTAAATCCACTGAAAAGCAGAGATAATTTTTGATGCTTACATTACAAGTACTGATTGCATTGTAATAAACATTTAGATATTTAAATGTTTTCCTGGCTATCAGTTGGTCATTGCTGTGAGACTTGTTAACTACGCAGCAGCGATTTCTGCAAAAAGATCAATAATCAGGTAAATGTCATGATAAGATTTAGAAAACTGACCTCTGAAGCCACTCAAGTCAATTTGTATAAGGCCTTCATCTTACCGCACTTTCAGTATTAATCATCGGTGTGGCATTTCTGTAGTGTGCGAAACACCGAGGAACTAGATGCTCTTAATAAAAGAAGTCTTAGGTTCATTTTAAATGATGTTGAATCTACGTATAATACTTTATTGGACAAAGTCAACAGTGTTTCTTTATACAACAGACGTATACACATTATGTTAATTTTACTTTACAAAAGTTTATTTCTAACTAAGTATCCTATCCTATCTGCTAAGACTACTTCTTATGGCCTTCGCTCTTTTTCTTATCATGCCTTTAAACTATGGAATTCACTACCGGACAATGTTCGAACCTTGAACCTTAATGACTTTAAAAAAGCATTAGCTAGCCTTAAATTAATGTAATTTTAGAACATATTGTAATTGAACTCATATTGTGTTTTTTAAATATTCAATAAATCTATTTATTTCATTTAAGCCGTTAATTATAGATATTGCACAGAATTGTATTTTATAATGCCATTGTATATTATATTATGTCGATTTCTTTTGTTATTTGTTATTTTTCTCTCGGAAAAATTAGTTTTTACAAGCTACTCTTAAATTCGAGAAAAAATAAAGTTTATGTATGTATGTAGAGTTGAATTGTTGCCGTTGAACGTAATAATGACATTACTTGGAAGAGCCAATACGCAATAAAAAGGGAAAATGAAAGAGAGGAAGAAATCAAGAAGGAAACATGGGAGAAAAATACTAAGCATGGAGCTGGGTACAGAATGAGATAGTTAAGGTGAACTTGAAATGAGAAGTGTGCCATTTGAACAAACAAAGAATCCTAACAGAGTTAGAAATGTTCTTCCCGAATTGAGAGTCGTAGCTACAAAACTCTCGGAAACGGAAATCAATCTTTCAAGGCATTGTTTAGGGCAAACAATTCGCAGAATAAAACGACTAAGTCGAGAAAAGGGTAATGCTTTAGCTTTTTTCGTGCCTTTAAGTCATTTCTGAACACCTTAAATCTGTCGGCAGTACTGATGTTGATGCCGAAATAGAATCAATTTCAGCTCGAGCATCAATTCTCAACTCACCTCCCAGCAATCGGACTAGATCACCTGTTCCGGGCATCGCTGTTCTGTAGGTGTTGGTTGGAGATGAAGGTCACAAAAATGCCTTGCATACTAGAAGAGTCATCCAGCTATGCTGCGGAAAAGTCGTGAAGTACGTCTGATCGCAGAAGTAGCATAGCATTTTCTAGACCTATTTCAAAAGTTGCGTTCCTAATTAACCCTTTGACAGTTTTTCTCTTCTCCATATTATTATTACGAAAAATTTTTCCAAAATGTTGCAAAGTGCCGGTCTAGTCGAACTTCCAAGATGGCACCGCAAATTGTTCCCAGATTTTCTTTAAATTTGTGGTTTGCTTGACTTCAAGTGGCACCCTACTTACACATCAAGAGCTTGTGCTAGGAAGGACAAATGAGTAGTTGCCCGAAAAAGTTGTAATAATCTTAAATCTTGAAGTATATTCATCAAAAGTTTATTTCCTCACTGCGCTATTGTGTTTGAAAATACATGTTCTTGTAAGTTTTTAACTCGTACTTGCGTTTTCCGCCAGAAATCCATTGGAGAGATAAAAGAGTCAATCATTATCGAAAGTTCGCCCTTTTTTTACACAGGCCGATCGAACTAGTTTACATTAGCGTACTGAATTTTTATTGATTTCGTCTCGGTCTATAAAAATGAAAAAAAGGTCAATGTCGAATCATCTTGACCTCACACTTGGTCAATAACGCTTATATATTGGCATTTATTGTTTAGATTTTGATGTGCAAAAAATGTTGAATCGGTGTCAGCGGCGTTGTGCACCTATTAATTCGAAGCCTCAACATCTCCCCCAGGCAACCCACGAGCATTTGACTGTCGGAAAGTGAACCTTACCCGAGTGGGGGAGGGGGAATTTGAACCGGAAGTGTCGAATCTTTCCGTGGTTTATCTTTTATCCTAAAGGTTATTACAGCGGATAACTCAGAAAAAAAGGTCTGTTAGGTTTGGAGAGCCAAAAAGGTTCGCAAATTCTCTTAAGATGTGTTTGCCAATCTTTTTTCGTCTCGTGATGGGCTGAGGCAATCTTTGATCTTTGTGGGAAAGTGAAAATGACCATACACATTCCGAAAAGTACCTTTTATTTTAAATTCTTGAGTTCGTACCGAAGTTCATAATAAGTTGTTGAACAAGTAGGGGTTGGAAAGAGTCATTTATGCTCGTTAATACTTTAGAACTACGCAACATTTTTCGCAAGGTCGTCCCTTTCATTTTCGTAAGGACCGAAGGGGTTGAGCCTCGAAACAAAGTCAAGACCTGTTTTCCGAGTTTAACTGACTGATTTCAAATATATCTAATTTTCATTATTACTCCAACTTTACAGTATGTGGAGGTACGATGAAAAGCACAACTGGTGTCATTGATGAAGCTGGCAGTCCATCATACAATGAATCGTGCAACTGGACAATATATTCACCAGTCAAGGATTCCACCATACTACTTGTTTTCGACAATCACACAGTCAATTGCTGGTAAGAAATAAATTATTGTCTGGTCTTCTTTTATCATGTTCACTTCCTTGCTTTCTGCAACTAATCCCAACTCGTTTTTCGTTTACGTTTATTACCAAGATAAAGATAATGACATGCTACGGTATGCGTGTAAGGCGATTTGCAAGTAAAGAGAGGTGATCTGCATGAGTCACCACAATATGGATAACTTGAACTATTCTTTGAACTGACAACCTTAAATTGGTCTGATACCTATATTGACGGTCACTTCTTACATGGTGTACACTAAAGGAATGGATCTTACAAGTGTAAGTTTACACTACTGACTGCCACAGTGCAGCTAAATCGATCAGTTGCGTGATGTTTCCTCTTCTGATTTGACGTCCATTCATGATGCGTCAGTTGGCATAGAGATTAAAAAAAGGTGCTTTTCGAACGCCCATGGACTTTTTAACACAACGTTGGATTGCATTTCAACCTCGGTTGAGTCCCCGCTATTATCATTTCGCATTAAATAGTTTATAAATTATTAAACGGAAAAAAAGGTGAAGCCCGTCAGCACCACGTGTCGGATAGCTTTTGTCTAGATGTGCATTTATCCAGCTAGAAGGTAAAATGTATGTAAATTGGTTCTTCTGTTTTAATGATTATGTTTTTATCTTTTTTATTTTTCATTCATCGACCTTCCCACAACTCTGTAATGATGGACTTTGTCGCTATCGTCGATTAAATAAATTAGTGTCACTCATAGAGTGGAGGATGTATTATAGTGCCGCGCCTCTACTACGTTTACTTAACAATTAATGCCAAGTAATGCTTCTGATTTGTCATACATCTGTTCGACAACTTACCCATCTTTACATAGGATTTCATGGACTTCGATACGGACTTGGAAACAAAGGAAGGATCTTTGCCAAGAAAAAGACCCCTTTGCAATTTTGGCGTTAGGGAGGAATGTCACAGTCACTCTTTTCTCGCACGGTTCTTATTTTAGATTGAAGGCCCATTATTTCGTGTTGAACAACACAACTTCAGAAGGTAATATAAGTGAAAAGAGTAAGTAGGCCTAAGGTTGTTGATTACTGTATTATTTTTGCTTTATAAAATCAAATTCATCTATAACCAAACAGACAGCGTTCGAAAAAAAGTGTCCAATTTTTCGTAAAATTCAAAGTGTCTGTAGAACTTTTATAAAAGGGCAACGATTTTAACTCGAAATGAACTAAAAAGTATGAACATTGAATGTACTGCTTCTACAGAAACGTCTTTGTCGAGAATCTTTCAGGGTCTAATTTAGAAAATAAATGTAATTATGATGATAACAATGATAGTAATAATAACAATATCAGTGACAACTAAAGCATAGGAATATATTTTTTTTAAGGACTCGCGCCATCTGTTTATTCAGTCGAGGATCAAAATGAATTTTAATGTGATATAAAGCTTGAGTAGGTCTCTCAGTTCAAAGAAACCCTGAATGTAAAATTGACATTTTCACGGAGCTAAATTCCTGGCATTTAGATGAGACAAGAGATGTTATTTTTTGTAGAAAATCATTTTGAGGCGAAAAGTGTGTGTGCAGGAATAAAAAACTTCGAGTGTGGTTGAGTTTTTCACACATGTTAGAAACAATGTTGGCTTTGCTCTGTTAGGTCCCATAAACATAGCTTTTTCTTCAACAATACTCAATCGGTTCAGTGCTAGTCATGAAATCTATGAACAAGATTGTCGGATTGACTAGGGCACATATCAACCATTACGGCTCGACGACATGGATACTGCATGGATGTTGATTCACCTTTAAATTGTGTTCCGCGTGTTAAACATTCATGAAACAAGCCTCCAAGCTTTGGAAAAAGGAATGTTTTGCCATTTTCCGGCGTAAGGGCCTTTTTAAGGTCACCATCTCTCTACGAACGTATCTCCATCTCTCTACGTCCAAGAGAATTAAACGTTGGTGATCAAAATCGAAAAGACAAACTGATCCAGCTAGCTCTTTACACTTAGCAATGGCTAAACATATGTTTTGTAGAAAGTTGGGGCAGTTAAAACTGTTTCATCATTAAATCTATACGAGCCCTTCTGCACACACCAACACATAAAAAAAATAGATAAAAGTGTCCTTTTTTCGCGTTTTAAAGATAAAGATGAAAATTATTTTGATCTTTAATTTCGTGGATGTTGCAAGAGTAAAAAACGTACGTTATTGTTTTCCATAAATGACTAATAAGTTTTTTCTGGATGTCTTCATTTCTAAGGTCTCCACCAGCATGACTGGAATGTTACAGTTGCTAACGTAAGTTCAACAGCGTTCCATGTGAGTTGGTCTCGACTTTATTCCAACAACTCAAATTCTACTTACATATATGGTTATGTAACTACCGTGCACATGAAACAGAACGATGTTGGTGATATACTTGTGCTGAATGTGACAAATGCTCCTTCCAAGAATATGAGTTCCTCCTTCTTGAGTAGGATGGTGACTGACCTTCGACCCTACACAAAGTACCGAGTGAAAGTTGTGGCTCTTGTAAAAGATCGGACAACTGGTATGATCTCGTTGAAAAGCAGTTCAGCTGTTGAGATTGCAACTCAAGAGGGTGGTGAGTAAATTTAATAGATCAACTATTCCTTTGCCCATAGCCAGAAAATTTTCCAACCGCGGCACTATTTAGAATGATGCGCTTAAATCGAATTTTAATTGTACAATCGAATTTGTGGTTCTGACAATAGCCACCCCTGCACTGTCAATCAAATATTTGACATGTAAACAATCTTTTTCAATCGCACTGTAATGCACGCAGCGATTACTAGTGTTTTAAAATTATTAAATGCAACGAAAATATCTCGCGACTTTTGTGGCATTACAGGTGAAAAAGAATGGAATCTCTAACGAAAGGGTTCCCAAATCTGCAAAAAAAAATAATGAGTTGATAGGGAGAGAGGAAGCGTATTCGCGGGAAGTGTTGTAAATGTAAAATGATGAAAATAAAAATGTCATTTGTTAAGTAGAGCACTTACGTTGAGGGACTAACAATCTGCAAGGCATCTACGTCAACCACAAGGCAGCGTCAAAATAAATACGATTAGTTGCTAAATTGGGTACTATAGCGTTCAGGGACAAACAGACTGCTGAGACGATAGTTTTCGCGCCTAAACTTAACTCTCGCGGACGGTACAACAATAACGGGGGTAAAAAGCTAAGTAGAGACGACTCGGTAGCGAGAATGGGAACTCGTCACGATTCCCTGGAACAGGCGACCTCTTCAAGCGAACTTCTACGGACGTCAAGGACGATACAGCGTTTTGGTTCCACGGTAAACTTTATTTTAGATCATATCAACAACTGACATGACCTCTAGTGTACTCAACTTCGAAATCGAAAAACCTTTACGAAGTACTTACTTAATTATTGAACTAATGTGAGCTTCTATTGTCCTCTAACTTGACAATATTTCATGGAATAAGGTTATAAAAGAACGGAAAACGTCGTCTTTGAACTGAGCTAAATGATATACATTGAATTATTCATATGTCGAAAATGAAAGAGCAGGTTCAATAAACTTTAGGCCATTAAAAATCGGAAACTGAGGTGAGAATTCACAGCTTTGATAGTGGAAATATGCACAGGGTAATTACAACAGAGCAGCATAGAAGATAAAACGATAAATACAACTAAAAGTTTCTGCTTATCTAGATCTAAGCAAGGTTGGTGTTAAGTTTGATCGTAAGAAAGGAAATTGAAGTTACGAGTATGAACTAAGCTGCCAACTACCATGAGAACCAATTTTTTTTTTTAATTATAGACTAGTGAGCAGCACTTCTACGAACAGTAGTTGTAAAACTTGTTGTATTTTCCTACGCGTTTCGTCTAACTGTCGTAGACTTCTTCAGGGAGTTTTACAAGTGTGACTAAACGCATGTATTTATAAGCCAAAGTTACAGGGGCCGATGACCGTAAAGGCTTGGCCGGACTTACGAACAGGAACAGGCGAAGTTGTGAAAAATTTAACACGTGTAAAGCCTGGTTTACATATAATCGCAGACGATCGGTC